ATTAAACTCTGTATTTCTGTTTGTTTTTCCTCTTCTTCTCCCAGGTCCTTGTCTATCAATCAATTATAAGCGTGACAGTACCCTGTACATCGATTGGTGAGGATTCAAGTCAATTTGTGATTCCGTCCAAGCGATTGGATTTTCCATTGACGTCCGTCATTGTCAAACCCGTTCTTTTACATTGGCTAAACTTGGACGTTTCAGCAGACAGGAAAGATTGGTAAGAACAGATGCCAATCATTTGGAGGCGGTTATCTGAGCGAACAACGTGTATTTTGATTGATCAAACAGTGTAATCCTTGAACGGCGATTGGTCATAAATCGGTAAAATAGGCGGGGATTACAGGGCGGTGCCCGGTCTGCTGAGGAGGAAAATGGCGCCTTGAGGGGGGTCCGGACCGCTGCCGATTCCTTGCTAGCAGGCGAGTGAGCTCGGGGGAGCGAGTTCGTGCTCGGGAAGAAATGGGAGGAGAAATCAAAAGATGGAGTGGGGTGATAAATGGAGGAAGAGGTGGGATCTGTAAAGCGAGTAGGGGGCCTTTTGTTGGGAGGGGGGCCCCCGAGCGCGCGAAGAGGGCTGAAGCAACTGGGACCGGAAGGAGGCGGGGCTAAGATGAGAGCCCGCCTCCGGGGACCCATAAGAAAAACAGGCATGGGTGACGGGGGCAGAATGAGAGTGTCCATTCATTATTCTTGGGTTCAGAGAGCGGGAGGCGGGAAACGACGGGATATTTTGATAGTTTGGCGTTGTTGTTCGGTATTGTTTTTTTTATTGGCAGTATATCTGTACTTTTTAACAATAACCTGAAAGCAAACAAGTGGACCTTTGTGTAATATTTTTGCTTCAAATATATGTTTACTTATTTTTTTCCCCTGACGTCAGGCTATTTTGAAAGGTATAGGGTTATGAACTTATGTAGATTAAGAAAATGGTATAAGAATGGAGAATTAAAAGAGCTGGAGGATGGACAATGACAGTCCAGTCAAGTAATAGTAGAGAATGGGTGTGCATGAAAAGAGTTGAGATGGTCACCTAACGCAGACGACAGTGAGAATAAGTGGTTATAGGGCACTGGGACAAGCCTAAAGGCCATGCAGAATCCTGGGTACTTGGAACCAGGAAAGGGAAAGATGGGTGTGGGGATTCCAAACTCGAGAAAAAATGGACTGGGATAATGCTGCCTCTAATCATGGGACAGATGTTCAGTACAAAGGTACAGGACAGAGGGAGAAAGAGAAGGATGTAGCAGATGACTGTAAATGATGGAGAAAGTCAAGCTTAGCATTTCAAACCTTTGGACTTAAGTAACAGGCAAGTTTCCTCAAGTATTGGTAGTATATTCAGATGTACTGAGAATAAAATATAATTGATGGGGGGTACAGGGGACTGATGATAACACAATCTTCCTGTGTTTTAGATTGCTTGCTTCAATAGCCATACTGTATTTGCACAATGATTTATTGAATTAATCCAGTTTAGGCTTCGTTGTGATTAGTTTATAAGCACACAGAAGTCAAAAACTAGTCATAGAACCCCCTTGATTTAACAGACCTCAGTTTAGTTGACTTTGAATGCATTGAACAAAGTTGATTCATATACTGTATGAATGTGAATGTGTAAAATCCCAACTGCTATTGCATGCATGCTTCAGATATTTAAAACATGCGTATATAAAATCCTGTTCCTCTTTTATGATTATTCTGCTTTAACTTTGTTTATAATACAGTGAGGTGGCTCACCCAACACATTGAAATACAAATTATCCAACTGTAGTTTAGGGCAGTGTTTTCTGCAGACCTAACCAATGGAATTGAGGAAGAAATGGTCCATAGGATCCTAAAGAACAATCAGAAGGAGACCTTTTCCCCTGATCATGGGGCTAATGTTTGGTATGTTGAATCAGAAGGCTTTGTTTACTGTTCCAGTTAAAAAGTCTAAACAATCTAGCAACAAGGCATACATTTATTTATTGTACTGTGATTATTATTGCAGTTATTGGATATAACTCTGATATAATTTGCAATGGATATTTTTAAATAAATACTAAATTTAATATATTTGATCCAACCTTAAAAAGATTTTTTCTTAAAATTTCTGAATTATTTCAAAAATAAGATGTTACATACAAAATAACTGCAAAGACAATAAAAAAGAAATTACAGACAAGTCAAAAAAGAAAGAAAAATAAGAAAGTGTGCACAATATATACAGAGATTAAACATTAAACACACATAGTTTTTATAAATATTTTTGTGAATTTATTGTGAGTTGGGCTGAGAGAGTGATTGGCCTAAAGTGACAGTTCTCTAAGAATGCTTGACCCAAAGTAATACAATTGGCCTAAGGGAAGCTTAGAACTAACTTTCCTGATTTCTACCCAATATATTAACTACTATTTCAAATTGGCTATAGGTCCTAAACCACATAAAAGTCTGAAAAATTGAGGGAAAAATTGTGGAAAAAGAATAAGATTTACTAGTGATAGTAAATGGTGTGGGCTTAATAGAAAGTTAAATGTAAAGAAAAAGAATGGATACTCTGATGACTACGAACCTATAGCTTGTGTTTTATTCCTCTCTTTTTAAGGAAGATGTGTTTTACAGCCAATAATACTACTCTCCAGGATTTAAGGATCTCAGTCATGGTGATTCCTTGAATTAAAAAATAGGGATTTTAGCATACAATATAAATAAAATAATTTAAGTTTTAAAAATGATATTAAAAATACTTGGTTACTTGTGGCTGAGATTTTTTTCTCTTTGAGTCAAAACTTGCTTTTAAGATGTTGAATCCTTCCTCACTGGTTGATTGATATTTAACCTTAATCTTGGAAATAAGAATTTGCTATAAAGGTAGCCCTCGACTTACAACAGTTCATTTAGTGACTGTTTGAATTTACAACAGGACTGAAAAAAGTGACTTACAATCATTTTTTTCACACAACCATTACAGCATTCCCATGGTCACATGATTAAAATTGAGACACATGGCAACTGATTCACCTTTATGACGGTTGTAGTGTCCCAGGGTCATGTGATCACTTTTTGCGACCTTCTGACAATGTCAATGGGGAAACCAGATTCATTTAACAATTACTAATTTAATAACTGCAGTAAATTCACTTAACTGTGGCAAGAAAAGTCATAAAATAGGGAAAAACTCACTTAGCAACAGAAATGTTGGGCTCTATTGTTGTCATAACTCAAAGACTACCTGTATTAGAGCTTCTGCTGTGGGCTTCCAGCACACCATGTTCTAAACTGTGAAAGCCATCATGCACTATGAATGTAGGTTAGAACACAGAAAATCCTACCTAAACAAGTAAGTCATATAATTTTCTTATTCTCATCCTTTTGAAAGCCTATGAACCATCATTTCAATTTATGTCACATGAACATTATTGCTGTTGCAAGATGCCCAGAGTTGTTTAAGATGGACAGCCATACAAATCTTATGGTTTAAATAAATAAGGATCTAGAAACCTAATTGTCTGTTAAAAGTAATGATCAGAGTGGGATATTTTTCTCTTTCTCATCCTCTTTCAAAACCTTATTTCATTTTGCCTAATCTTATGTAGTTGGTAGAATGAAGCATAGGAACTAATCATAATTTTGGTTGTATAAACATGCTTCTCTTGTGGATTTAGGAAACATTGGTGAGCTATATTATTTTTATAGTCTACTTGGGATCCATATTGAGCCTCATACTTGTGGCTGGGCTAATTGATCAACATATCACTCTTTGGCAATTGAGCTACTTTTTTGAAGAACTAAATGGGTAGGCTAATACCTGACATGGAAAAGTATGGTGTTATTAGGGTGCAGAGGAAGAGGTAATTCCAAATGCACAGGGACACCTGATAGTAAATTTTTAAGCTGTATCTTTTTCTAGGCTTTAAAATATATGTTTGGTTTGAGGAGGCGCTGACAGTTATAACACTGGTTCACATACATGCTCTGAATGACCTTTTCTCTTTGGAATTTTAGTCATATGACCAGGGCTTTTTTTGTCATAGAACGCTCAGAACGTTGGATGGAACCTTGTAGGGTAGGCAACACAAGTTGTATGATGTGTGTGAGTTCCGGTACCTTTTTTTTTTTTTTACAAAAAAAGCACTGCATTTGACGATGCAGCATGAACGAAACAGTGCTTAGAAGGCTAAAAGTTATTTTTTGTTGTTTCTTTCCCGCGCTGGTCATTCTGTTACCATCTTTCTTTCCCTGGTTCCTTCATTTTGTTAATAATCTCCTCTATGTTTTCAAATTTATCTCCACAACAGTAAAATCTAGAGGTTTGCTTTTGGAATACTTCTCATATACAGAATTCTATGAATAAGTTGTCATAATGAGAATAAAATTGCTGCTTAGGATTTTAGAATAGATATTTGTAGGATGTGTCAAAGCCAATCTTACCATTTTTTTTAGCTCATTGCATACGACAAATGTGTAAGCACCATAAAACAATGCATATAGTTTTATATTGATGCTCATAGTTTATAAAAATGTTTGCTTAAATTCTGCCTGGTTTTCAACCTTGCAGTTATTTGGCTGATTGTTCCTATTATGGTGAGGTAGCAGAAGGTCACAGCATATTTTTTCCAGATATGATAAATATGCCCAAAAATAGTCCTACAAATTATTGATGACATCACTGTCAAATTCTCTAAAATACGTTGCATTTCCCCCCATTCTAATAGTTTTTACACTACCTTTCTAATCCATATTGAACATAATCCAACTTTCTTTTTATTGTTCTGATATTTGTCAGCTCAACTGGCAAAAAATGCTTAAGATGGATTACAATTCATTTAAATAAATACTTTAGTTGTGGGTACAATTCTGTTCTCCAGTTTTATGTTGTGAATAATTGTAACTGAAAACTAGTATATTGTGACAGTCAGACAATATCTCTTTCTTGCACACAATATAAATCTTACTATCAGTATTGAAAAACAATTTAGATTAATTGATTGATTAACCAACCCTTTTTTTTCCAGATTTAGAGACAGTATGGCTGCCACTGCTGCAGTTAGTCCCAGTGATTACTTACAGCCTGCTGCTTCAGCAGCTCAGGTGGGTTGTTTCTGTTGATAGCATTGCTGTATTTTTTTAAAAAATGTAAATGTTTGGCCTAGAATCATGCAAATGTGAAAAACTGTCTGATGAAGGTGTTTACTATAGAGAAGAATTCTACTAGGATATCGCAGTTTCATTTATTGGTCTAGAATATTAGTCCAAAGACAGAGCATTTAGTTTGCCTAAAAGTTCAGGATTATTACAAGTAATGCTATTATATGTCAAGTTCTATTGCTATTCTTGAACTTAACTTTATTATTATAATAATGTGTTAGATGCTTTGCATGCTATAGTCCATGTTTTAGGTTCTTGTGTTTATATACCAGTGTGGATTATTAGGCATTATACTAATTTCATATACATATATAAACATTCATATTTGGAACAACATTTTGTGATATTTGCCAATCAGTTAAAAACTTTGTCTAGTAATTATTTGTTTGGTGGACTAAGCAATTTTTTGAATTTTAAAGATTTCTTGCACGTAAAAATATATGTAATTTGGCAGAGCAAGTCACAAAGTACATGTGGCAGAAGTGAAAAAAGGGAGAGAACAATTGAGTTTTTTACCATATGTTATTCACAAGTGACAGCAACTACTAAAAAAAATGTTTAGACTTGATTAATACATAAATGAAGTCCATCAGACTTTCCTAGGGCTGTACATTAAACTAGAAAGTTGAAAAAACATCCTGAAAGACAGTGGCAAACCATTTCTCTTTCACGTTCAAGAAAACTATTATTGGCATGTCCAAAAATTCAGCTGGAATTACCCTCAACCCAAGTATTTAATTTAGGACCAATAAAAGATGTATAATTCACTTATTGAGACAACCAGTAATATAGATGATTTATATATTTGCTGGAGAACAATATAGAAAAAAATTATGGCTACTAATCGGTATATTTATAAATGAAATTTTCAGAGAAATAATTGGTAGTAATGTGCATGCTTTGAAAATGATATAGAAGATACACTTCCAAATGTGTTGGAGCATGAATTTGGTATTTCTTTGAAGTAGCTGTGTCTTCTTTGGCTTCCATGTGAACTTGAAAAGACATACAACTGCTTTAAGGACTGCATCCTTAAAGTAGCTACATTTGTTTTCAAGCTTGAGCAGAAGTCTTGACAGTTTAAAGAGATGCTATACTACACAATCTGAAGCATCTCTTCAATATCATTTTGAAGCAAGAAGTATGCACAGTTTCAATGATTAACAATCATTGAAAACCACAAAAGGATTCAATGGTCAGTGCAATAATTTCTCTTAGGAACATAGAAAATATGAGATTATGAATTCTTGTAATAACATAGAACTCTCTGTTTTATAAAGAATCAAGTTAATAAAGCATTGTAATGAAAAATGTTCTTTGTTTTTCCCCATAAAAGAAAGTTATTTTAACTGGAAAGTTCATTAATAAAATATATTATTTATTTTAAATTTCATTTTATTAGGACAATAACTCATTTATGAATCTTCCAGAGGGTCAGCTATATGAGAAAACATGTTGGCTATAAAATCTGGTAGAAAATAAAAATAATTTTATATGCTACTGGCTACCAGAGAAGAGAAGCAGAAAATACATCTGAAACAAGTACTGGACAATAAAAAAGAAGGGGAGATCCCACCTTCAGCCTTTGCCAAGCATCTAAGAAACTCTGGGTTCCATTGAGAATCTTGGAATGCTATCTAATCCAAATTTCATTAAACACCATGCAATGTTTAGGTATATCCTTCCTCTTCCTGGTTGACAGTGGAAGTACGTACAACATTTCTGCTAGATATGGGTTGTGTCCCCTTCTATCTTCCTTTTGGAATAGAAAGATAGTAAGATGATCAGATGAAGAAATGAAAATTGCTTGTGTTTTTCAAGTGATTTTTCTATATAACAACTTCCAGTTATCTTAAGATAACAGTCTCTCTTTCCCAAAACAAAATCAAGAATATTTTTCATTAAATATAGCTTCCATCCCTTAGGCAGAAACATCTAAGATGCCCTATATCATCATTGTATCATCCCAAAGGTTTAGATTTTAGTTTGTTTCTGAAAATATTCTTTAAGTCTACTTTCTTAGAGATTTAGTAGGACTCTAAATTCTGCATTTTGAAATATAGATGCATTAAGAAATAACTTCATCATAATGAAGAAATGTTTTGTTGGGGATTTTTTGGCATATTTTTTTCTTTACATGCATACTCTTTCATCTCTTTCCATCACAGTAAGCATTATTATACAAAGCAAGGAAAGGAAGTAAGACATAGCCAAAGATATTTAAGTCATGAGATAAGAAAAAAAGAACAAAATATGATTAAATTTAGTTTATACCACTACCATTTACCATATTCTTTCTGCCCTTGGAAATCCATCATGTTCGCACATAACTTTATTCATTGGCTTTTGTTCTTTAAAATTCTCACTTTTTCAAGAACTCATCAACTGCAACCAGCCCAAGTTTCTCAGGGCTCCTCTTCTATGCAGCTGATTCATTATTACTTCGTATATTTGCTATGTAAATCAGTTCTAATTTGTTTTCTCTAGGAACAAGCTACCAAATGTATTTTTTGTACTTGTCACTCATTTTTATAACCAGTCCTTATTCATTCATCACTCAATAATTTCTGACCCTATTTTGTTTCGCAATAATGTGCACTATGTTCCATATTTGCCCTGCATTCGGGTTACTTTTTATCCTGACATATCCAGCCTCTCACTTTCATTAAACCAAGCTGAGCAGAAACAAAGTCCTAGACAACGGCTATATTTCTTCTTTCTACAAATTCTCCTGATGATTACCTGATGATAGATTACCTTCCTACTAACATTTATTTGTATGTTCTAACGATTTCACTGTCCATTTTCTAATCTTTTGTAATTATTCTACTATACTATATAAATTCATCAATTTACTCCAGCTTTTTTGGCATTTGTGTATAATTAGCTATTAATCATTCCATTTTCCCTGTCAAATACAATTGCCTTGGTCTTCGTTATAGTAATGTTCAGATCTATTTTCTACACTGCAGTATACTCTAGCTAATATTTGCTAAAGCATTCCTTATCCATTTATTCATAAGCACATTGAACAACCAATAGAACATCTCTTATTTAGGGTTGAACCATTTGCTATGTATTCCACTTATTCTCATGCATACATTAGTTAGATAATATACCCTCTCATGCATTCAGCAAACAACTTTCAGCTCTGTATTTGTGCAAAACATTCTATCCATCCTGCATATTGACTTTATTATATACCTTATCTGAATTAATGAATGCACAATAAACTGTCTTACTTTGACATATTTCACAATTACCTACTAAACAGCAGTAATCAGGTCAGAATACTCCTACTTAACATAAAAATATTTTACTTCCCAAATTTTGTTCATTATCATCTTTTGCATTATTTTAATTATAATTCTACAAACATCTTTCCGGACACACTTAACAGATAGTTTCTGCATTTACTGTTGTTCCCTTTCCCTTTATAGAGGGAATAATAAGACATTATTTCAATCATCAGGCACAGATGGAGTCTCAAGTCTCTTCCTCTTCACACACACATGCATACAAACACACACACACACACACACACATACTTGCATAGCTAGTACTTAAATAATTGCAACCTTAGATTTGATTATAAGCACAGCATTTATGGCATCTCTTTCGGGGGGGGGGACATTAACATTTATAGCATTTGTTGCAACTTCACTCCTTGATATATCAGTGTCAGCCCCATGGATATCTCTAAATGCATACTACATCATTCTCTCATTGATTTCACTTTGTGCATGTTTAGCCTTCTTCAATTCCTTTCAGAATTGCTCTATATTTCCTGTGCCTCTTAATCTTAACCAGACCTTATTTTCTTTGACTACATTCTTAACAACTATATTTTCCTGGGTATACATATTGTAGTAATGCTTCTTTCATAATCTTTTTTTCTAGCTGTCTTCTCTATACATTTTTTCTTTCCAGCCTATTGAAACGTTGGATAGAAATTATATAAAGTGACTTACGATTCTGTCAATCCTCTGTCTGTCTGTCTACCTACCTACCTATTAAATTTCCTCATTCCAGAGGCTCTAAGTATATATAAAATCAAACCTAATTTAAACCAACAAAACATTACATGGTAACAGATAATAATAGTACAGATCTCTGCTTAATCAGCAAAAATCATTCAGAAAAATCAGGTTTTAACTATTCTCTGGAAGGTCATCAAAGGAAAGCAATTACCGTACTAATGCTGAGCTCAGTGTCCCTTCATCCTACCTCCTAGTAGAGCAGGACCTCCATTAGGCATTCCCTATTCTTCTGGATTGAACAGATGGTCTATCTGTCCAAAAGATAAGTCTGTAAAAATTAACAGAGAAACCAAAATTGATGTGATAGGAGAAATCATAAAAGAAGGATCAAATTTAAAAAATGAGCCATATCTGGCTTGGGGCTGCAGAGAGAAAGTTTCTACCCCCTTAACCTTGCTGGAGGGGCAGTTGGGCAGCAATTAAGAACGCTGCCGATTACTCGGTTCTAAGTTATTCCTTCTGATCCTGTGACCCAGAGTAGAGCATGTATGGTCTGCAAGCATAGGTGCAATGAAAAGGAAAAGCATAAAACTGCATACACAAACAGAACACAATTATATAAAAGAAAATATAGATGCTTTCTTCTGATAAAGGATTTGTTATAAAAAAAATAAGAACCTCTGGTCAACATGCTTTCTCTAACTTATTTTGTCATCCACAGCCTGTATTCTCTTCATTTTTCCACTAAGCGTCATTTACATACTTCCAGTGTGAAACCTAACAGACTTCTGCAATATTTTGTGACATAGTTTTACTTCCTTATATCTACTTTGCTGTAACTTTTTCTTTATGGCAGAATGGAATGAAATCTGCAGAGCATTATGAGAGGTCATAGTGTAACAGTAAAATACAGCAGCATGCAGAAGGCCGGGTCTCACTAAAAAGGTTTGATCTACTCTCAAGTTAGGAAAGGGCTGTCTCATCTATTTCCCTATATTATAAGTAAAAAAAAAAAAAAAGCCCTTGCAACAAAGGAGGTGGACAATGTTAGGAGAAGTCTGCTTCTTATTTACTTCATGTAAATGAATGGGTTTTTTTATTTTTGATAAAAAGGTTCAAATCATTAGTTCCTTGAGGGAAAACTCTCTTTTCTAAATAATTCTGTTCTCCCTTGGCACCCAAGGTCCATTCAAAGTCAGTGAATGACCATCATTGTGTATGATACCAATATAAATTCTTACTGTATATGAGTCTAATACAGAGTACTAATTTCCATTTATAAAATGTTTATTTTATAAACATCAGTTTGAGGTGTTGGTTGCTAAAATGTAGAAGTATTAAATGCAGAATGAATAAGAAAATAAGAGTAAATAATGTTAGTTTTTAAAATATTTGGGAATGCTTCATTTTCCCCTTGTATGGTGTTATATACAGAATATTTTGGATCTCTCAAACTATCATATACATTTATAATTCATATATTGAATACACGTTAGCTGAAATGTTTGCTGAACACAAATTCAGTGGAATAAATTAGTCAAGTTTTAGTTCTTTAGCACTTGATGAGCCTATGGCACTTCTCATTTAGTCTGGATCCAATTCTATTGATACTTGTTGATTTAAGAATCTGATGTTGTGCTATTTTAATACAAAGTCCAAACTCTGTATTATAAAAATCTGGGTTTTCAGCTGTGTTATACTGTATTACATCTGGAACAAACTATTTGTGTCCATTGTCTTTGACACAAGCCTTTTCTCTTCCATTCCTTTAGGATTCTCAGCCATCTCCATTAGCTTTACTTGCAGCCACATGTAGCAAAATTGGTCCTCCAGCTGTAGAAGCAGCAATTACATCTCCTGCTCCTCCTCAGCCTGCCCCTCGGAAATTGGTTCCTATTAAACCTGCTCCACTCCCATTAAGTTCTAATAAGAACATTGGAATCTTATCATCAAAAGGAAATCTCTTTCAAATTCAAGGTTCTCAATTGGGGACATCATATCCTGGTGGACAGCTAGTATTTACAATCCAGAACCCAACTGTGATCAGCAAAGGAACCCGTTCTCCTGCCAGTATCCAGTATCAGACGGTACCACAGATCCAAACAGCATCAGGACAGACGATTCAGGTGCAGCAAAATTTGGGCAATCAAATACAGATTATTCCCAGCAATATCACCCCTTCTTCCTCTTCATCATCGTCGTCCTCTTCTTCAGCTCATAAGCCTGTGCCAATAAAGCCAGCTCCAGCTCATAAGTCATCAGCATCCAGTCTCCACAACACAAGTAGTGTTGTCAAGTTAACTGGCACCAGTGGCAATGTTACACTTACTCTTCCAGTGAGCAGTCTTGTAACTGCTGGGGAGACTAGTTCTCAAACTCAAGTTGTGCCCGACAGCCCATCTAAGCCAAGCAGAAAATCCCGAAAGAAAATGGTATCACAAGCTCAGACAACTGCAATGGCTATGGCAGAGCAAGTGGAAACAGTCTTAATAGAGACTACAGCTGACAACATCATCCAGGCAGGGAACAATCTGTTGATTGTGCAGAGTCCTGGGTCTGGGCAGCCAGCTGTGGTCCAACAGGTGCAAGTAGTTCAGCCCAAACAAGAGCAACAGGTAGTTCAGATACCCCAGCAAGCCCTACGGGTAGTCCAGGCAGCTTCAGCCACACTCCCCACAGTTCCCCAAAAGTCCCAACAAAACTTCCAGATCCAGACAACGGAGCCAGTTCCCACTCAGGTATTTCATTGAAAGTTCTCCCCCCTCTTTTTTGTGTTTTTTTAAACAAATATTTTCATTAATTCAAACTATCACTCAATTTGGAGTGATCAGGTAATACATAATTACTAGAATTCTTGGGGGCAAACAGGCTAGGGGTTCTTCTAATAGAAAAAGCATTACTTGTCCAATTACTTCTTTTTCCCTATAAATATGCTATTTAAGTGTCAGTTTCCTATAAAAGCATTCAAGAGGTATAAACAATTTGGCCTGCATTTATTCTGGTACAGTGATTTGTAATCTATTACCAGAACTTTGGGGAAGAAGAAGGTTGGGAAGGAGGTCACATTCTACCTTCCTTCCATATCCAGGTGCATCCTGTGATTCATTTTTGTGTCATTTTTGTAGGTCTATTTTAAGACGCCTTCTGGTGAGCTACAGACAATACTACTCCAAGATGCCCCAGGAGGGGGCCTAACTATGGCCCCTCCCCCTGCAGTCGCCACAGCCTGCAGCAGCCCTGTATCCCGCAGTTCCCAGTCAGGGGGAAGTACCAAAAAGACAGGGGGAGCTCGTAAAGAGCGTGCTCTGCCAAAGATTGCCCCTGCTGGAGGCATCATCAGCCTCAACGCTGCCCAACTCGCTGCAGCTGCTCAGGCAATGCAGACTATCAGCATCAATGGTGTGCAGGTTCAAGGTGTTCCTGTTACCATCACCAATACCGGAGGTGGGAAATTTAATGTAACAAACCTGTGATGTGCAATATTTCAATTTGGATATAATAATATCTTCATTTTTTTTTAAATTGCTTGGAACAAGGAAAAATAATGTATAAGTAGGGGTGTGTGTGTGTGTGTGTGTGTGTGTGTGTGTGTGTGTGTGTGTGTGTGTGTGTAAAGAACCAGGTCTTTAGGACTGGACATACTTGAAGAAAAGTGTGAAGCATTTTGTGATCATTTAATTTTTGCATTCCCCAAAGACTTTTGTTCTTGCTTCATTCTAATAATAGGGGGCATGCCAAAATACAAGGCAGATTTATATCACTATGCTATCATAACTAGGAAATAGCTTCCTTACTTTCATAGTAATTGTAATTTGTAACCATAAAAATTGCATTCTTTCTATTCCGTACATTGCTGGTTGCTGGGAGATGGCAGTGAAGGATTCCACACTTTCTATCTTCCTGAGGGTGAGAAAAGTATGAAAACCCCTTCATAAGGTAGCAAAATGTGAAAATGTGTATCAGAGTGGGATAGTAATATTATAAAGAGAAGCAAAAATTAGAAATAATGTAAATGTAAGTAAGATGGGGGGAAAGTTGGGCATCTGGATCCAGGCAGGAATGAAATGTCGGAACCTTGAATTGGGTTCTGACATCCAAAAAGGCAAGAAGAGAAAATGGAACTCATATTACATGGTATTTTAGTCTGAGTTTGCATGGAGGTTTACTGAAATAATTGAGTCTCCATGTTTTAGCAGTGGAAATTCCCAAGCCATAATTTCTTCATCCTTCTTTCTGCAGGCCAACAGCAGTTAACGGTACAGAATGTTTCAGGCAACAATCTAACCATCAGTGGCCTGAACCCTACCCAAATCCAATTGCAAATGGAACAAGCACTCTTGGGAGACCTGCAACCTGGGGAAAAGAGACGGCGTATGGCTTGCACCTGTCCGAATTGCAAGGATGGGGAGAAAAGGTAATGCATGGGGATTGGGAGCAAAAAGGAGCATTAAAGCCCAAAGGCTGCCAACATCAGTTCCTGCTTTATATTATTATTTAATTCATATCCTTCCCCTCTTGGTACCAATAAATAATATTCAGTCCCTTAAACAGTTAAACATGGATAACATAACCCCTACTGAATAATCCAATTTATTTAGTAGAAACTTTGCTTGCTTTTTATTTGAGATTAAGGAAATTTCCTTGAATCTGTTTTAAAAATATTACAGATATTTTTATTTGGGAAGGGGGTGAATATATGTAAATATTGAAACAAATAAGAGTATTAAGACTACTAATAGTGTTCGGACATTCAAAGTATATTGCCTCTACGTGGAAGAGTTCAAATGGCTATGAGCACACTAACTTTATCTCCTGCCCTTATTGTCACTGCTTTCTAGTACATCTGAGAACCTTCTTTATCTACCACTATTCCTAGTAAGATTTGGAACCTTGTGAAATCAGAATTTTAAAATACCAAGATAAAGCGTCATAAGAATGGTTTCTGATGCATTCACCCTTTAGATATAAAAAGATACAGTGGTTGAAGTGTAGGTGATGAAAAGATGGATTTTCAATCAAGCAGGACACAAATCATTAAGTATGAAAGAGATTCTATAATAATGGTATTTGGTTATCTAGTTGTTAAAATATGATGTAGGGAAAGCTGTTCAGAGGAAAGGGTATTCTTATTTTCTTGTCCAGAGATTGATACCGCATAGAAATATAGCACCAATAATTGAATATGTGTATGTTGTCTCCTATAATACTTTCTGCAATTTTTTTATCTTGAATAAAATAACTGCATGAAGAAGAGACAGGGTTGTTCCCAAGTTGCTCATCTCTGAGAAAACTGAAATAGTATTGAGTTCTTGCTGGGGACAGTACAGAGATATTTATCTTAATGGATAGGCTTAATAATGGATCTATTTTTGTATTGAACAGAAAGACTTGGAATTTTGTCTGCTCTTTTCACAACCAAGCAGATCAACGTATTAAAAAGGATCAGTTCAGTGGCAGAAAATAAATAGTTTCTTTCACATTGCACTTGGTAGCTATCTTGAGCAGGTTGAATTGAAGGGAATGAACCTGCCTTCTGAAATTCTGCAATTCTGTCTGTGGGTGATGTTTGAGGTGATGTAAACTTGCATCCATATGCACGTGTGTAAAACTAACAATTGATGTGACCTCAGAACTGAAAAGGTTGTACCTTCCTTGCTTAAATTAGGCAGCAGATCTGGAATTACTGAAAGGTTAATGGATTGGGATTGATTGATTTATTGATTTATTCAGTCTTGCATCTTTGCTTGGAACACTGAAGTGGATTCTTGGTGAATTCCAGAATAGCCAATGTATTTTTATAAAAAGTACTTGTGAATCATTGTTGGATCCTTTCGCAGAAGCTATATGGGGTAATCAGTATGAAATTTGTTTGAAGTTTTCAACAGTTTTGAATAGTTCTGCTTCTTGAGACATCATTGCAGGATACAATAATTGATCTGATCCCTGAGATGCCACCACAGTAAAATCCAGCAAATATATCCATATCTTTATTAATCTAGATTAAGAATATCCTTTTTCTGGTTTTTTTTTCTTTGTAGGTTGGGTGATCAAGGGAAAAAGAGGCACATCTGCCACGTGCCTGAATGTGGAAAGACCTTCCGCAAGACTTCCCTTCTGCGGGCCCACGTACGTCTACACACAGGCGAGAGGCCTTTTGTCTGCAACTGGGTCTTTTGTGGAAAGAGATTCACACGCAGTGATGAACTGCAACGGCATGCCCGGACGCATACAGGTCTGTCAAGTCATTTTTCTGCCTCTCTTCTGTTGTATCCCAGCTGTAGTTCTACCCATAAGATGGGGGGAATGTAAATATTAAACACTTAATGGGCATTTCATCTTAACTCAGTTACCTTTATAATAAAGATATGCTGGGTTGATTTAATGCTAAAAGACTTGATTTCAAAAAAGAAAGAAATAATTTAATTTATGTAAGTCATAAATATGGCCATCCCCCTCTAAAACAGTGATTCTGGATGGGTAACAGAATTGAAAGCACAATAAAAACCTAGTCATAATAATATATATAAAATCAAGAAAATAACAATTGCTTTCATCCCATGGGCCCTTATAATCCCAATAATACACACACACACACCACACACACATCAGTACGAGATATCTCTTGAGGGCCCATATGGTACAGGAGAACTTTAACCAGGTTTATCCTGGCTAAAGAGGCCAGGGAGGCGACTTGTGGTTAACTGTGATGACAACTTTTTGAGACTGGAGGTGGTACCTTCAGCCTTGAATTGGGCAGTGGTTTGCCTCCCTCAAACGCCCAATCTTGGAACCAGCAATTTAAGATACTTGTTGTGTTGTCTCTAGCCTTCCCTTTGTAAGGACAGTTGTTGAGATGGTAGTTGGACGGCAATTGCAGAGGGTCCTGGAGGAAGCAGCTTATCTAGATTCATTTTAGTTGGGTTTTAGGCAAGGATTTATTACCCAGATAACCTTGGTCATGCTTGTAGATGATATGGGATAGAGCGGGGATGGAGCTAGTGCATCCACTGTTGATCTCTGTAGTGACTTTCACTACCATTGATCATGGCAGCGTCTAGACTAGCTTTAAAAATTGGTAGCACTGTTTCACAGTGGTTCTCCTCCTTCCTTTAAGCCCTTTTCCAGTTGCTGTGCTGCTGGGGAAAGGTTGTTCCATAGGCTTCTCCTTTGTGGAGTGCCACGTAGTTCAATGTTCCCTTTCCTTTTGTTGAGTGTATTATTAAATTATTATGCCACTCATGTACCCTACAAGGCAATAGTTGTGGAATATTCCATCTTTAATCTTGGATGGGTTTGCACTTTCCCATTTATGAATGGTATCAATCTAGACTCTCAGTTCCTGCAGTGCTAAATAGAGTTTTGCATAATTCCATCTGAGACACCCATTGCATACACTTTTGGATCAGGAACCCCTTCAGACAGTCACCCATGCCCTAGGTACCTCATGACTTAACTATTGTGATATGTTCCTACCCTAGAAGTCCACTCTAAAGCTCTAAATGGTTCAGAATAGACCATTGCTAGGCTCACAACTAGAATTCATATCCTGTAGCCTAGACTGACTTTAGCATTCTTCTCTGTGTCTCATGATCTGTCCATTATGTACTGACATATTCAGCTTTTTTTGATTGCAATGACCATCATTCCATCTCCATTGTTCGTAAAATATTGTCTTAACCTTAACTAGAAACTTCACATATTTCAGTCTGAGTGATAAATTGTCCCAATACCGAATCAGATTAATGCTTAGCATTCTGCTTTGAAAAGTGATTTATCAGATGCCTGCAGGCAGGACATGAACAAGATCGTCATACTTGCTATGCATTTTTACATGAGTTTTATGTTTAGATTTTGTAGGGGGAGGGATTTTGTTCAATCATGTCCAATTCTCAGAGACTGCCTGGACACTCCCTGCAGTGGGGGACTTGGCAAGGTCTTTCAGAAGTGTTTGCCATTGCCTTCTTAGTAAGGCTGAGAAAGTGAGACTGGCCTAAGGTTACCCAGCTGGATTTGTGCGTAGGGTGAGACCAGGACACACTGTCTCCAAGTTTTAGCCTTAATCACTATACAAAAGTTAGTTTTAGTTCTGGATTTAGTTTTATCATGCACCCAAAATTTTTTTTTCAAAGCAATCGCTGTAAGCCATATGTGCATTAGCTTTTTGTAATATATTTATTGTATGGCCATTTGTCATGTGTGCTCACTGCTGTTCTTGTTCATTTCTCTGGCCAGGTGACAAACGTTTTGAGTGTGCTCAGTGCCAAAAGCGCTTCATTAGGAGCGATCATCTGACAAAGCATTATAAAACCCACTTGGTCACCAAGAACTTGTAGGTTGGGATGCAAGCAGGAAAAACAAGGAAGCGGTGTGGTGATGAGCAGTTTTTCACCCCTCATCATGAAAGATGGTCTCTGCAAAGGACAGAAAAAAAATACCCAAATAATTGTCCTGACTATGTGACAGCTTTCCCAGCCACATCTGCCCAAGGAAAAATGGAATGGCTGCTTCAACCAAACTGCCTTCAACCACACTGGCACTCTCCTTTGGAACTTCTTGATGAATGCATCATACTTCAAGGCTTGAACCTGAGATGGGGGAGCAACGCCATTTCCAAACATGCTAAAATCGGCACAAGCCCAGTGGCAGACTTGGAAAAGCAAGGCAAAACCCACGTATGCACCTTCCTCAGGAGCTTGCAGAGCCAGTGCCCTCCTCTGCTGCACCAAAGGAACTCCTTATGGGTTTGAGAGTAGCACCAGCGAAACTGTACCCCACTTGTAATTTGGGCTCCTCTTCCCACTCACTCCCATGTGCTTGTGAAGCTTTTGAATGAGAGGCAGGGAAACCATCCAAAATGGGACTCAGTCCCCCTAGCACATTCCTACTTTATATTTAAAAATATAAATATCTATAAATATATATCTATAGCTATACATATAAAATAACCTCCTTAGGAAGCTTCATGTTTTTTCTATGGAGAATGTTGCCTTATATTTTACCCCAGGTTCAAATTATGTATTGTGAGCATTTTTTAATTTAATAATTTCTTTATTAAAAAATGCTTTGCCCTGCCTAATAGTGCAGGCAAAGCCTAAAGTCCCTATCAAAATTCAGAGTCTGTGATCTGATCTTGGTCTACAAACTAGATATGGCCTGTGTATATAACAGGGATTTCTAGGATATGTGTAGCAGCAGCAGCACTTTTTGTTCAAGGAAATGGAAGATGTCCATACACAAAGAGGATTTCCCATGTATATATGAAGCAGAGCTGTGCCACAAGCTCTGATGTAAATAGTAAAAATTGCAGGCAAAAGCTATGAGCCATATGGAAAATCTAGGGCAATCTGTTTGCAATTCTGCATTGCTTGGTTACATAAATAAAATAAAAAGTCCAGTGCAGATTTGCACTGTCAAGCTCTATTAGACATTATTAATGATTTGGCAGGTGAAATGAAAAAATTCTTTTCAAAAACAGAATATTCTAAGTTTTTCTCCTTTTTTATTTTATTTTTTTGTTTTATTTTACTTCACTGGATTCCTCCTGCCTCTTTTTTTTATATATGATGCAGCTCTTTTTGTGTACTATAGTGTATATTGTATCATAAACTATCTATTGCGTTTAAGTGTTTGTTTGTTTCAAAAATATACAATTTGTTATTTTTGACCTTTTAAATTAAAACAAAAATCCATTTTATTTTTTAGTTGTAACTGTTTGAAGTATGTTTCTTTAAGTGACAAATCATTCTTGTTTTCAATTAATGGTGTAATTTGGCAGAGCTGCATGTAGCTTGCCTAAAAGGGAGTGCTAGGTTGAGGAAGAACCATGCATTTCTTGATGACTGAAATGTTAGAATCTCACACTGAACCATCATTTGGGAACAAAAGATTATTTTTCTTAAGAGGAAAGAATGGAAAAATTGATTGTTTAGATGGCTTGTTGACAATAAAAATGTAAAAGAGAAATATTTTTACTCCTTAAGGACTGTGCTAAAAAGGCATTTTCATGCTCAGATTGTTTTGTCATGCAGATATAAAAAGTTGGTCAGAATGTTTTGGTTTTAATATGTCTCTTTCATTACCCGCTCACTCCCTTCATAAAGAAGTAACAACTTCCAAAAATACACTTGCAAACTTTGTAAATGAAAATGATCTTTGACCTGTTATATTAATTACATAGCAGCATGCAATGCTGTTAGGTTTATAATGGTGATCATTATGCTTCTGTCATGCTTAATCCATGGTGGCAGTGAATCATAGTGGAATGCAAGGAAAGCTGCCTTGTTCTATAAAGTAAAGGCTTTATCAAGGATTTATAGCAAAAAGTTTTCCCTTATTGAAATGCTCACACATTTTACTTTTTTCCCATCCTGGGGGAAAGGCAATGATTTAAGTAGGCAGGCAGGCAGGCAAGAAAGAAAAATAAATCCATATCGTTATACTCCAGTTTTGAAACTAATGTTATGTATAAGCAAGCTAATATTAAAAACTAAAGTCCTGAAATGGTAAAAAGTATAGTGTTTGGTGGCTGTATTAATTTATAGGAAATGAGGGCTGAAGAATGTACTTGTTAACATCTCTTATTCAGCTCTAACACTCAAGGTGACTAACCTCCAAATAAAAGTATCACATAAATATCACAATAATACCAAAATAAGAAAAAGGTAAAGAACATAGCAAGAGTTAGAGACATATTGCAGATATTTCTCTCAAATATTTTATAAAGGAGCAATGCTGCATAAAATTATGAATAAGGAGCCCACACAAATTTCAGAGGCCAGTATATTGCATAGGGATAGGGCAGATAAGCTCTGTTTCTGGATCCATTATCCTTTGATCTGATGAGAAAGAATACCTTTTGTGGATTGATCAAACTTTACAAGGGGTTGGGTGAGATGTTGAGAAAATCCCTTGAGTGAGGGATTTTGCCATACTTAAATCATTTACATGTGTAAAGCTTCTGACCACAAAGGAGATTAGTTTTCTCACCTGATCTATTATTATAAACGGACCCTGTGTTCAAGAGAATAGGGACTTTCCTGTAATAAGTCCAGTTTTACCTCAGGTGTAAGGAAAGTATACCGGATCAGATTATTCCTCAAACCCAATATATTATCGACTGTGACTGGCAGTGGCTCTATAAGATCTTTCCCAGCACCTGCATATTTAAAAAAGTGAATCTGGGATTTCCATAAGTAACATGGGGTCTGATTTGGAACTTCAAGCATAGCTATTGTATATCCTTGACCAAAGAACAATATATACCGTAGATCTTGAGCAGATACACATGGGATTGTGAGAGAGGAAAGAGATAGTGAGCTGGATCAATTCTGGCAATTCATTGGGAGACAGATGTCACAGATCATCCTCACACACAAACACAGTTTTAACCATGGCATTACACTGGCTCTCCTCAAAAACTTCTGTCTCTAGCTAACATGGAACATATATAACTGTCATTAGCACTAATTAATATAACTAGACAATGTAAACTCATCTGATCAAGTTAAAGTGTCCTGGACAGATGAAAGGATAAATATTTTTACTACTAATTTAATCCTAATTACCAAAATAACACACCTGCAGTATTCCATTGCAAGCTTGCGAATTATCATATGATACAAACTTAATACTATGATCTAAATTCATCATAATACTGTTAATGAATTGTTTTTACTTGCTTCAGCCTGGCTTTAGCTCCTGCACTGAGAATTCAGCATGGTAGAGTAAACTGCATTTCCAACCCATTCGTTCCCCATTTTTCCATTTATTTCAAACTTCATGTTACTGTTATTGACTTTAAAGAATTGACAGCCTGCCTCATCTCCAAAGATAGTCAGCAATGGCAAGAATGTCTCTAAGGAAAGAACATAATAATCAAGATCACAGATACAAAATCATAAAGGGACACAAATGAAATCCTTGAGTTTAGCTTATTGTCTAAATCCATCCATGTCATCAAAAAGCAATTGCTGTGGTTCACATATGCTTTGTTGAAGCAAATAATCCACATTCCAGTTTAATGTGGTGAGGTAGTTTAATAGCATGGGACCACACAGTTGCAGAACAATAAATTATCCAATCCCTTTCAGGTGAGTCTAGTTATATGAAGCCAGTCCTGGCTAATCCTCTGGGCAAAAGGAATAGGAAGGGATTTCTGGCACAATGGATGCTTTTTACAGAAGCCATTGCTCACCAGAGCAACTTAAATTCTGCTTCTAGAAACGATACCAGAATTTTAGAAAGATACTCTTGTTGAGTGAAGCCAACACTTTTTGTCAGAAAGTCTTTTCTGAACAATCCTTATGGAACAAATCTCCAGCTATGGAAGAAATAATATGAAAGAATAATATTTTCTTATGCTTTATTTCATCACCCAGCCAACAGAAAGCAATAAGTAACTGTTTTTCATTCTTCCTTTGGGTCACTGAAATGGGGTCAAATTAATTACACTGACTGAAGGGTAGGGTTATTCTGTCAATTTCAGTGCATTATAGGAAATCCTAATTGATGGACTACTCAGCAATTGTTCAAAGTTAAAACGGCATTGAACAAGAAGACATGACTAAGTCTTGTAGTTTTAACTTTCGTGTGACCATGATTTGAGTACTTGGCAATCAACTCACAATTACAATGGTATCAGCACTTCACAATCATGTGATCACCATTTGCAATTTTCATTGCTGCCTTCTGAAAAGCAAAGTCTATGGAGAAGAGGGCAGGTGATCATGTGATGTCATGCTCAATGACTGTATGGGATTCACTTAATGGCAGCAACCAGAATGTCTGCAAATACCATTGTAAGTTGGCATGATCACAGACATCGCATTTTACCATCATGTTACTTAGTGACATAGTTGCTAGTCCCAATTTTTGTTATTAAACAAGAAGTATCTGTATAGTGTTTCTGAGATCAAGGGATTTGGGTTTCAAGTCCTCATACAACACATTCTCCAAAGAATGCAATAAGATATAAATGAAATGACATTCAATACTTCTGGATTCTGTAGCTCTAAAATTTCCTAAAATTTGCCCTCTGCGGATTCAAAGAATTGACAGAGACAAGGGACATATACATCCAGATTACATAAATGGACAAGGAGGACCCAGAAGAAAGGCAGGAAAAGAAAGAAGCAATAAGCTGAAGTTCTGGCCAGCAATGTAAACAAGGGTATTTCATAAATCTAACCCAGCAGGTGATGGAAATGACTTTACCAGCAAAGGCTTGCAAAATCCATGAAGGGGAAAGGTGGCAGAAATCAGAAATCAGACTAAGATAATTTGCTGTCTGAGCCAGAGGATCAAATGAAATTTCGCACTTGCCCTAGGCAAGATTCATAGTACTGTATACAGAGACAACCTAAATATGTTTTTGCACAAGGCAGAAAAATGTATTTTTCCCCTCCTATTGCTGTCAGTAAAAATACAGTAACA